TCCCGCAGATGACATCACCAAGGGAAAATCTCTCTGTGACATAAGCCAGGAAAGCAGATGGAACAAAGGGCCCAAATTTTTCAGAGAAACAACTGACCACTGGCCAGAGATGCCGCCGTTAACGTCCATTGATCAAGACGGTGAACTGAGAAAGCCAGTCTTCTGTGGTCTATCAACCTCCTCCCCACCCATCTTCTACTCGACAGGTGTGGATTGCTTTGGATCTTACACCATAAAGGTGGGACGTAGAACTGAGAAAAGATGGGGAATCATCTTTAAATGCATGACTTCATGTGCAGTTCACACTGACATTCTCACCAGTATGGACACAGATTCCTTCTTGATGACTTTACGGCAATTCATTTCAAGACGTGGTAAACCCTTTGAGCTCCTAGCAGACCAGGGTACCAACTTTAAAGGAGGAGAAAGAGAACTAAAAGAGTCATTCAGCGCCCTTCACCCTGATCTCCAAACCCAACTCGCCAGCCAACAGATCAGATTCATCTTCAATTCACCCAGTGCACCACACTTTGGTGGATGTTGGGAGAGAGAAATACGCTCCTTAAAGGCTGCACTTCAAGTCGCCATTGGCTCTCCGATGGTTACAGAAGAAGTACTGAGAACTGTCTTCATAGAGATAGAGAGCATCCTCAACTCCAAGCCCATTGGCTATACCTCTTCGGGCATTGCCGATCCAGATCCAGTGACTCCTAACATCTTGCTGATGGGGCGGCAGGATGCCTCATTACCAGTGGTGGAAAGAGTACTAAAAAATATACTCAAGTAAAAGTACCATTACCTTCCAAAAAACGTAGTGTGAGTAGAGTAAAAGTACTTGTCCAAAAAACTACTTGAGTAAGAGTAAAAGAGTAGCCTATTTAAAAGTACTCATGAGTATTGAGTACTGAGCTGTGGATTCTATCCCCTCATAATAAACGCTGTACACACAATTTATACATTTTAAAAACGTTGTACATTCTGTAATTCACATTATCTTGTTAGTCATAAAGAATGCAGAATTTCTATCATCCAGCAGTTTTAATTTTGACTGCCAACTCTTTAAAATACATCAAAACATCACGGAAACAGTATTCAGTTGAAGAAAAGATGAAAGTTATTCTCAGCGCAATCATCCCCATTTAAATCATAAAGTTTGAAAAAATAGATTTAAAATCATGTGTAAGGCCACTGAGACAGCAATGCTGATAATGATAATACAATTTGTAAGGAAAACTGCATTAAATAGCGAAGTATTTCTGGGGAAACTCTTTCAAAGGAAAACACACACACACCCACGCATGTCTCTTTGCTGATCCGCGGCGGTCTCGGTGAATCAGCAGCATCCACAACTGAACGTAACAAAAAGTGTTGAACTTGAAAATTGTTTATGCGCGAGTGCACTTGCTAAATTAAGGCAGATTGTACAAAATGGATAAAAAAAATAATATTTTTTTTTAAACCGTTACGCGAGGGAGAGACGAGGCAGCGCAGATCGCGCGTCTCATAAGTGAGTGGGAATTTACCGAACTTGGCACTTGCGGGAGTTAATACTGTATGCAATACCCGCAACCTCACACCAAATGTCAGGCCGTGTAGATAGGCAAGCATATATACAAATCATTTAGTAAGCAGAAATCCAAAATTTACCTTAACATATTAAGTTAGAGGAAGATGCGACTGAATTGATGCTTGAAGAATGCGCTTCCAGCAGCCATGATAAACAGTTGGCGGTTAAAGTTTTCTATGCACAATTTGATTTGAGGAAAGTCACGAGACCTATTACTATTTCACTATCCAATCACGTTGATGGATAAAATTAAAATTTTATTAAGCATGTAACGACCACAAACGGAGGAAAATAGCGGAGTAAAAGTACCGATACATCACTTAAAATGTACTCAAGTAAAAGTAAAAGTACACCATTTTTAAACTACTCAAAAAAGCACAATTACTAATAAAAACGACTTAATTACTGTAACGTGAGTATTTGTAATTCGTTACTTCACACCCCTGCTCATTACCACAAGTGGTATAATCAGGACGCTGAACTCCTAAGCCGTAGGAGATGGAGACATAGCCGGGTCTTGGCTGACCACTTTTGGAAGCACTTTATCCGGCACTACTTACCCAATCTCCAGATCAGACAAAAATGGAAAACTGAAGAAGACAACTTGCAGATCGGTGACAAAGTCATGATCGTGGACCAGCAACTACCCCGTTCTCTTTGGCCCGTAGGGAGAATTGTTCAGGTCTTTCCTGGGTCCGACGAAAGAATTAGATCTGCAGAAATACGGATCAAAGACAAGACTTACACCCGACCTGTAACCAAGATTATTTGTCTGCCCCCACTCCCTGACTAGCAAAGACAATTTAAGTTGGCAAATTCACACTGTGAATTTGGGGTGGCTGTAGAATATGTTCCCCTTTAACACATGGACTCTTCCAGTCACCCCTGTCATCCAGTGTGAAATGGACTATTCCTGAACTTTACTTTTCTTTAATTTTTTACATATATTCTTATATTTTATATAAAATATAAAAAATAAAAGACATGAAATAAAAAACCAGAAACAAAACCCAAAACAGACCTTACGTTTGTTAATGGGACAACAGCAAAAAATCAATGGAATAATTACCAATATGTTTTTCCCTATAAGAAATATTTATCTTAGTAAACCAGTTTATCCCCAGTTCAGGCAGATTTTAAACCATGGTTGTAGGTCACCGCTGATTCTCAGCTTTTGTAAATCTGTAAACACATGCAATATTTCATTTACTATCAAGATTAATGCAACAGAAATCATCATGTTTATAATATAGTTATAATCTCATCTGTTTATGTCCTTCTCTTTCTGCAGATGTGGAAAAGGCCTCGTCAGGCCCTCAGACAAACAGGAATGAGAAGAAGGAGCAGGAGCTTCATTACGGAGAAGTGAGGTTCACCGACAGAAAGGTTCAACGCGTTTTGTTGCATCGCGCCGCGTAAACATAAAACCATGTCTGCATTTGTGATCGGAGAAATGACAAACAACAAGCCCTACTCTACACTGCTCAAAACTCACGTTTGAATCGTCAGTGGCAAATTCTTTAAATATGAAAAAACGTACTTACAGACTGAGAGTCAGAACAGCCGACATTGTAGGCTACTCTACCAGGATCAGGAAACAGTCCTCCATACAATGTGCTGCACACATCTGAATATTTGAGTTGAAGTGTTCTGGAACAGTGTTGTAAATACAACTTAACCACTGATTTCTAGTCGTGTCCTCTTTTGGAAGAACAAACAAAGTAGTTTTGCTTTCACAACGAAACACACAGCGTCTTCACGACATGACGGCGGCAGCAACAATACTACAGCGAGAATAAAAGTTATGTCTTCTTTCTTTGCGTGAACATTTGGACGGCGTTATGCAAATCTTCCCACATAGTGAGGTAGACATGTGGGGGCGTGTTAGAACGAGCCATTTTAGGTAGGCGTGGCTGACTCTTAACTTTTATAAAGAATATCTCTTTGGATTTGAGACTTTAGTCTTTGCAACTTTAGAGATCTTATCTATTCACGGACAGCTTGTAACACTCCAAAGAGAAAGGAAAAAATGAAATCGCATCATATGACCCCTTTAAACATAAAAGAAGATACTTGGAAGAATGTGGGTAACCAAACAGTTTCTGGTCCCCAATGACTCTGATAGCATTTTTTCTCTACTATGGAAGTTACTGAGGACAGCAGCTATTTAGTTACCCACATTCTTTAAATATCTTATTTTGTGTTCAACAGAAGAAAGAACTTTATGCAGGTTTAGAAAAACCTGGGTAAATTATGACAGAAGTTTCATTTTTGGGTGAACCATACCTTTAAAGTGACACATCCACATCCATAAAGGTATAGGTCTATTGTTTTATTAAAATCTGGATAGTCTGTTAATATATTTCATACATTATCAGAGCTTAGTAGACATAATTATTATATTCTTAGGCATTATTAGCCAAATTAATTAATAGATTGTAGGCCTATTTTATGTTATACCATATTTATTAATTTATCATTTATATTAATCATACATATATACATAATAAATAATCATGTCATTTGGCATTTTAAAAAGTAAAAAAAAAAAAAACTAAATTATTTAGACAAAAATGGGACAAATGATTACAAAATAATGTAGTTCTAATTTAAGCAAATTAATAAAAAATAATACAAATTCATCCCATCCTGGTAACAGCTGCAGAACTATCAAAGAAGACTAATAATAATTAATAATTATAAATAATCAAATTTAAAATAACAATATTAATGTGTTCTGTAGCAAGTTTACTAGCCTACTTTAGCATGGTTTCTCATGGTTTACTGTTGAGCTATGAGTTCCTCACTGATTATTTGTGTCCTTCCTGGGGGGTTTTGTTTTTTTTGTGGGGTGGTGGGGGGTCATGAGTGGGTGTCCCTTATTTTGCCTCACTGAAGGTGACAACCCTACATGTGAAAGTTATTATATCTGTACAGACAGAATTAATAAAGTTTATTGAACACACTCTCATGTGTCTGCTTCTGTCCGCTATTTGTGCAGTTTCTCGTGTGTTACATGCACATGTTGATTTTGGGTTCATTGTGTGCCGTGAACATCTCATTCTTGCTCTCAACTGAAAGAAAATTAACAGGTAGGAATCAGGCACGGGGGGGGGGGGGG